GCTTTTCTTTTTGACGTTTTTATCGTAAAAATTTGTTTTTTTTTATATTTTGATGGTTCTAACAAGATGAAACTAATATTTAAGAAATAAGCAAAAACTGGATTATTTAGAAAAGAAATATATTGACACTGTAACATTATCTAAGCTTTGTTTGAATAAAGCTAAATCTACTAAATAACGGGCGATATCTTTTTTATTTATTGGTTTCTTAATTCCATTTTCATCAACCCCATTGTAATTATTTGTGTATAAATATTCTCTAACAATGTCAGCACAAAAATCATAAGAAATTACATTCCAAAGACCATCACACCCAATTAAAACAAATTCATCATCTGGACTTCTTTCTATCTGGTTTGTGTCTGCTTCATCAATTACAAATTTTTTTAACGCAATATCACCAATGCTACGAGATACTCCTAGTAGTCCTTCTACTCTCCATCCATGGAAATAAAAAACTTTACCTCCAGCAAGTTCAATTCTTTTTTTTTCAGTTTCATTGTTTGGAGAATGTTTGTTAGAAAGGATCAGCGGTTTATTGTTCTTCTTACAAAACATTATTTCTGTGTCACCAATATTTGCAGTAGTAATTTTTTTATCATCAATAACACAAACTCCAGCAGTTGTTCCTGCATTAATATGAAGAACATCAGCAATAGTTAAGAATCCTTTATTAACTTGTTTAAACGACTCTTTTAATGCAATTTGAATGTTTTCTGGGAAATGAGGATTTGAGACAAGATAATTGAAAATTTTGAATGAACAATAATCGGATGCTGACGTTCCCATGTGACCATCAAATACACCAAACACAGAAATACGTCCATGATGACAAGTTAAAAGTGAATTCAAATCATCTATATAGACACTAAAATCTTCATTACGTTTTCTTGGACCAGTTTCTGTGTGAGAAGAAAAACAATGGTCATTAGGAGATAATGGCTTTGACAAAGGAAAATTAAATTTAGAAAAGACTGTATCTACTTCTTCTATTCCAATGCACTTATCATGAGAATGAGATGGAATGTGTGGTGTTGAAGTTGTTTTAGCAGGAATAAGAATCCAATTTTTCATTGAATAAATTTGATTAATGTCATTATGAAAAGATGGTGGAATAATTTGATCAGTGTAGTGTTGGAGATAACCTGAGATAATCCGGTCTTTAATATCACAAACTCTAATTGCATTTAGTCCTGTTTCGTCTGCTTTAGTAATATTTATAATATCAGAAAATTTTTTTAAAGTTTCATTTCTTTTATCATTAAGGTGAGATGATAGTAGTGGTTCTGTTGAATGACCAATTGAACGAGAAAGCCTTAGCTTAGTACCTGGAGTTACTTTTTTAATTTTTTTAGCAGAAGTTTTTGTAGGTTGATTTAACATAATATTTTCACGAATAATTGTTCTGGGATTTAATTTAATTGGGGTGATAGACCAGTGTATCATTTGACTCAATACATACATGACTGGTTCTAATAACTTAATTGAACTTCTTGTTGAAAGGTGATCATTTGTAGAAATTTTGATAGATTGAGTTTCTGAAGAAAGACATAAATAAAGGATAATTGTTCTGTTAAAAGTATAAAAAATTGGTTGAGGAAAATTAGCAAAAGTTGATGAATGAGAAATTGAGGGGACTGTTGGAAGATAACAAATTGAGTCTAATGCTTCTAAGAATAATTCAATACTTAATAATCCAGTAATAAGATTGAAACGTGTTAAAGAAAAGATATTTAATAAACAATGTTGAATCTTAGTGAAAAGTTCAGGTGTTGGGATATATGTTAATTGACAACCAGTTATTAAAATATTAGTAAAATCAGAATTTATTGTTTGGTGTTCTGTTATTAGTACAACATGAATATCTTTATTACTTTTGAATGACTCATTAACGTAAAATAAAGCTTCTTGATGTTTTACATGAGTTAACGTTTTAGAAAAAATAGTACTACGTATTTCATCATTAATTTCATTTAATACAATATCTCCATCTGAAGAAAGAATTACAATTGTTAATTTATTATGAAATAATTTTTGTTGAATTGCAAAGAGAGCATCTTTAATTGTATCTTGATTTGATACATCAATAAGTATAAGACATTCTGCTAATTCTTTTCTTTTCTCTTCGTTAAATAATGCAATAACACCTGCATGAAAAGTATTTTTTTCTATAGGAATAGTTGGTTCTTCTTTATTTAAAAAGTAACGTTCTGATTGAATTCTATTAACATTTCTAAACATCGCTGAATTTGTTCTTCCAATTTTAAATTCTTGTTTTGGATGAGTTACAAAAACCTCTCTACCATCGTCATAATAAACACAAAATCGATGATTAAGATTAGACAAAATTCTAATAGAAAGAGGATCTTCTAATATACTCTTTCCTTTAAGAGAAACAATAAACAATGAGTTATAATATCCATCAACCAATTCATATTGTCTTGGTGAATAAACAATTGAACGAGTAACAACAAATGTTCCATCAACAGAAACATTAATAGTAGTTTGACAATTTTGATATTCAAAACATGGGCAAACAATATCAAATACATGAGGAACTGTGAAGATGAGGAATTAGAATTATTAATAAAAGTATTAATAAGTTACAACAAACATGTCTTAAAATATTGAGTAAAAGCAGAATAACAAAAATTAAATGTTTGAGTGATTGATTTAATTAATATAAAAGAAATATCAATAAAGTCAATGATAATATAATTTGGATTTGGTACAATAAAAAAACCATATTTCTTTGGAAAAATAATAAACAAATTATTATTTGCTTGTTGAAGTGAAACATTAACTTCATAATTTGTAATAATACCATTTGTAGAACAAAATATTATTATATTATTAATATCAAGACGTTGTATTTCATTAGATATAATTGCCTTATTGACAATACTTTTAAGAAATTGACTTCCATTTTCTTTATTTTGTATGATTAAATGATTAATTTTAGATTGGTAAATCCCGATTTTGGTTGTCATTTGAATATTAAGATTATTTCTATGGAAACTAATGAAAAAAAAACATAGAAAAATATTAACAATAAAAGCTGTGTAGAACAAAAATCAAAGATTTTTCATACTCATAACGTACTTCTTTTGTTACAATCAATCCATTTTTGCTCAATTTCTTTCTATTTATATTTTTATCTTTTTAAGATATTTAAATCAGGAATTTTGTTTGATATTTTTATATTTTTATTTTATCATCAAATAAAAAGGAGAATTTCTTTTTTTTTAATTTTAAAATTTTTTTTAATTTTTCTTATTATTTTTAATTTTTTCTACTTTTTCTTATTTTAGCGAACTCAAATGAACTACAACAATTCAAATGATTTTATTAATTATTATTAGTGTTGTTCTTGGTATTGATACAAGTTCAATGAGAAAGTTATGTCAAAGGAAACAATATGTCTCTGCTTTTAGGTTATTTAAAGAAAGTTTCAGTAAACGTTATTTGAGTCAATCTGAAGAAATTCGAAGAATGGCAATTTTTTCTGTTTGTTTATTTTCTGTTATTTTTTTTATTTTGACTTTGAAAGAGGTTATTGGTGGCAATAATTTATTCACCTAGCAACGAGTACAAATGATAGAAAAATTTAATGCCAAAAGAAAAACAGAAAGTGACGTTAAACTTGATATTAATAATTTTACTGACCTTACAAATGAGGAGTTTGTTCAAATGTATATTGGTGGAAAAAAATGGAATGAAAACGTTAAAAACCAAAACATTGTTAATAATAATTATATTCCTAAAAAAAATAATTATCCTACAATGTATTCTTTATGTGGTAAAAATATTAATTATAACTCAGAAGCTGATGGTAAAATCGATCATTGTAGTCTTGGTGTTGACCAAAAACTTTGTCGTTGTTGTTATGCAGCATCAATAGCTAATTTTCTTCAAATAAAACACCATATTGCTAATGGTGAAAATGTTCAATATTCTATACAACAAATTGTTGATTGTACTGGTGGTAAAACTACAGGGTGTTGTAGTGGAATGTCATACGACGCATTAAACTATAATAGGGTATTTGCTACAAGTGATGTTTATCCATTTAGAGATGCTGAAACCTCTCCAGATTGCCAATCATATACAAGACCAAGTTGTTATACTGTTAAAGAATTCGCTCAAACACTTACTTCATATAAGGAATGGTATGCTCCAACATACAGTGAAATAAAGCAAATTATCTATGATAATAAAGGTGCCATTAGTGGAATTTATGTTCCTCTTAGTGGAGTTGCATCTGAAGTATGGCAAAGTTATTCAAGTGGTATAATAAATGTAAGTTCATATTGTAGTTCTAACAATGGGAATATTTTCACTAACCATATGGTTGTACTAGTTGGATTTGGTTTTGAAGCACAAGGAGAAGGAGTTAATGGTAATTTTGTTATTATTAGAAATTCTTGGGGAACTGAGTGGGGAGACAAAGGTACTGCTAAGTTATCTGCTGACAGTTTATGTGGAATAGGAAATTGTGATGGTGAGAATGTTCCATGCTCTCATCCAACACTTATCACATTGGAGACTGAAGTAGGTCCATCTACTAAACAAGATTATGGTTGTTTACAAAATAAATGTTCACCAACAAATGATTGTGATGGGGTTAACTGTTTAACTAAAAGTTTAGATCCACCACCTAATCATTCTGTTGGAATTGTTATTATCATGTTGGTAACATGTCTTATGATGCTTTTCTAAATGAATTTTTTTTTAAAAAGAAAATGAAAATTTTATTGAAAAGAGTTAATTAAAAACGATCTTCCGTTTGGAGTGATTGATAATATCTTGACTCTCTTTTATCTTCTTGACCAAGGGTATATGTAGTAAGAACAACTAGTAAATAAATACTGCATGAGAAAGAATCAAAAAAAAAATATCAATAAAAACAAACATAAAGCAAAACAGTTTAGTGGATCACAACATAAATATTTTAATGATATAAAATAAGTTTCAACACTAACTAAAACTGAGAATAATAGCTTTAGAATCAAGATTGAGAGATGAATACCAATAGCAATACCAAATTTTAAAAAATACACAAAATACATTTTGTCAATTTTAAGACTCACTTTCAAATTTCTATGAGAATATACTAACCATACTGCTACTCCTCCAAATATTACCAAAACAATAAATTGTTCTATTTATTTAGTTGGATATCATAAATTAATAATAAACAAACGATTAATAATTGTAAATGGAATTGAAAGATATGCCCAACTTCTATTAGGTAATGTTGGGTCACACTCACCTTCTAGAGAAACATAATAAATAAGTTGGGCACATACAAGAATTAAAAACACAGTATTAACAGTGTAAACAATAATTGGAATTATAAATCGATTTTTCATAACTGCAACATTCCCTCCTGAACGATGGTCATAATAATCAAATAAACAAACGGTGAATGCTGTTATAAATAAATAACAACAAATTGATTCTGTCAAACGTTGAATAATATATAAAAAACATGACTGTTTTGATGAATAAAGCATCAATGAAAATACAAATAACATTAAAAATAAATAAGTAACTACAAAAGAATAATATAATGAACGACTTATAGTTAAACGTACTCTGTTATATCTCTTATGTGACATATATAATGTATGAACAAATTGAATAATTACCAATATAAATAAAAATAAATAAATTGCAATACCAGCAATTGATTCATTTGTCATTGGATATGAGTTTTTGGTGTCTGAGGGATATAACATTACAATTTATCAAAAATAATGTTTTCTAGTTCAAATTACTTTTCAAATAAAAACCTTACTTAAAATAATTTTGATAAAATAAATATTTACTCTTCCTTTTTGTTTTGTCTATCAAAACCATACAATTTAGATTCAAAATACTCAATCAGTGCCTCAGGATTCCTGATCTTCAATAAGTCAATTGGATAAACATTTCTTGGTCTGCCATCTGGTTGATATAAAACATGTAATTGCCCTTTTTCATTCCAAATGTCATGAACAACACCATGCTCTTTATATTCTACTCCAATTTTTTTAGGCTTCTTTTGATTCTTTTCAAAGTCATCAACTAAAGCACCGTATTTAGTTCTAATATCATCTTCAGCTTCCCAAGTATTATCTTTGGATGAATAATTCTTCCATTTAACTAGATAACTTGTATTTCCATGAACAATTTTCTTTCTAACAATTCGTTCAACTTCAAATGTATGAGGAATCTCTTCCATAACAATTGGACTAGTAGGTTGATTTTCACTGAACCGATCCATAAAATTATCGAAAGCATTTAGATGATTTCTTGTGTTTGGTCTTCTGATAAGTTCTTTTTTGTGACTTTCAATGTCTTGATCAATTTTTTCGCAAAAAGATAAACTTGATGCAATAGAATCAAAGTCGTTGTTTTTAGTTGTTTTTGTTCGTGGTGTTGGAGGTATTGATAATTCTTTGATTGGATTTTTTTTTAGGAAAGGATAAGTAATTCCAGATTCTTCTCTAAATTCATTATCCAATTGAAGTGTTGTTGATACAAAACATTCATTTAATGGGATGTTCCTGTGGTACAGCAACATTCTACTTACATATAAATATTTCTCTTTGTCCTCTGGAGAAGAACAAATTATAGTTGAACTTGAATTAATTTTTCCAAGCACAATAAGTTCATTTAAATCTTCAACAGAGACTAATTCGTTAAGTTGAGAATCTCCAATCATTGCCCAATAAAGTTTATCATGTTCTGTTGACCCTTCGAAGTATAATAACTTAAGTTGTATTAAAGAATACGTCGTTTGTAATGGTAATGAAAAAGTATTTATTTCAACTTTATTGTTTTTAATAACCGCTTTAAACAACTTGACTGCTTTTGATAAGATTAGAGAAGGTTTTGCTCCATATTGGTTTTGAATATGAGTCATTTCGGTTTCTTGAGAAAGAATAGAACATATTTTGATTGTTAGATTTGGCTCTTGAGGTGGTGCTTCAATAGGATAGTAGTGTTGATCATTATTGATTGACCACTCAATAAGTGGTTGAAACTGAAGTGTAATTAGTGACGATGGAGAAACAGAAACAAGTTGGACTGTATATGGTTTTATTCCATATTCTTGATTATCTACCTTTATTTTTAAATTAAATCCTATTCCTCTTCTACACGAATTTACTATACAAAGTGTTGAATCATGAGAAAGTTGAAATGACTCATCTTTAAAATTACTGTTCACTATTTTGTTTTTATTAATCATAAAGAACTCTACCCCACAAATAATTAATGATTGGTGAGTTTGAACTTTTTCAATAGGAATGACACTGAATAAAATCTTTTTATATAAATCATCTAAATATTGAGCTGCTTCATTTGAAAATTCATTTCCAAATGTTTTTATTTCTTTTTGGAAATAATTAATACTATTTTAGTTATAACCAAGACTCTCAAAACACACTTTCAAAGAACTAAAACAAACGGATTTAAATCAGTATCAAATAACTCCCATTGAAATGTTATGAATTGGTCTTCAAATAATTGATTAGAATCAAGGTAGTCTTTTAGAAATCGAACAGTCCTTTTCTCATTCATTTCTATTTCAATAGCATCACCATTTCCATTGAGTACTTTGAGATTAAGTTTCATTAACCTTTAACAAACAGATTTTAACCTTAAATACTTTTATCTTTTCTACAAAAATGATTATCCTCAAAA